ATTATTAAAAGAATCTAAAAATCGTACAAGAACATGAAATAACAAATAAAAAAATTAAATAATTTTTAATTTATTTTATTTATAAATAAAGTACATGAACAAAAAGTCAACAAGATGACTTTTAAACATGTTATTAATTAAGTTGGTTTTATAAAGTTTAAACATGAAGTTTTATTATTTTGTACATGTGTAATAATAAGTTATAAGTATGAACTTTGGGTTTAGAGGGAAACCCTTTTAAAAAATGAAAAATCAAGGAATACCCTCACAACTCTTCATCTGTATGGTATTTATATGTGTGTACATGTGATTGAAGATGTTTCATGGTTTTAATTCGTGTGTGCAAGTTATGGACATGTGCATACTAGACAAATTACTTGTATTCACATGTACATATCTTACAGATGAATGGTTATTAAAGTGATTGTCAGTTTTTCATTTTTTCCCCTGAACCTTATACACACAAGAGATTATACATACATACATACATGCATACATGCATGCATACATACATACATACATACATACATACATACATACATACATACATACATACATACATACATACATACATACATACATACATATATATAAGATATTCAGATACAAACCATGTAAATGTTACACAATGTATAAACCAATCTTCACCGTCCTTGCACATGTTTTTGTGAGACCCGTTAAACCATTTTTTACATTTGAAGTTTCATAGTAAACGTTGTGAAGGTGAAAAAAAAGCCGAACAAAAACACTGGGAAGGTTACTTCACAGCGTTTTGCTGTGAAGTTTCAAGTGCAAAAAAGTGGTCACATGGGTCTCATGAAAATAGATTGGTCTCACATGATCCCAAGTTTATATATATATATATATATATATATAAGTATAGAGAGAGAAAGAGAGAGATTTGGGATCATATGAGACCAAGAGTTTTTCGTGAGACCCGTAAGACCAATTTTTAACCCTTGGATTAGATCTACAATATGACAATATGAACATTCATGAACGCCACGAGACTTCTCAATAATCACAAAATTGTCACCGTGCAACTTTAGGCCATTAGATCATTAGCTTATAAAGTTAATCAATGAACATAAATTGGTCTTACGAGTCTCACGAAAAACCATTAGTCTCAGGTGAACCCAACCACATATATATATATATATATATATATATATATATATATATAGGGTTTGGTTCAAATACTAACCAAGATTATTGTGTTAACTTTGTTAAACAATCTTGGCCATTGATTCTTACAATAAAGGGTTGTGACTAATCATGATAA